GGGAGGAGAAGGAGGAGGAGGAGGAGGAGGAGGAGGAGGAAGAGGAGGGCGAGCAGAATGGCCAGAGGCCTCTTGGATGCCTCTCGGAGTCTCGGATATCCCTTAGAAGCTTCTGCGAGTCCTCTGGGAGCGTCTTGGGGGCCCCTTTGCGGTCCCGGGGCCTCTTAGAGCGTCTTGGGTGCAGATCGATCAAAGAAGGGGAGGCTCAATGGGGGCCCCTCTCCAGGCGGCCATCATGGACCCAAAACCCAAGTACGATCAGTGATTTCTGCCTTCTCGCCGAGGCCATCTTGGACGCTCCAATGGGTCGCTGGGCGCCCCGTCCAGCTCCAGGGGATGGGGTAGGAGGAGGGGTCAGGACACCCTCTCCGCGCGCAAGCTGTCTAGCTCACTCCCACCCGCCCTCCCCCCACATAAGTGGCATCCGAGTCTCGGCATAGCCAGGGGTCGCCGCTGGATGGACAGCCACTGGGAACCAAGCGGACGCCAGGTGCGCGACATTCGCCGCGGGCTCCACATGCGGTTGGTGTGCCATACTTGTAAAAAACGTGATACCCCCCCGTCCGCATGGTCCAGATGCTGATGCGGCGGGCGTCAGCATTGTAATAGGCCTGCGCACAGCAAGCATCATCATGCGGACACCACCGCCGTCCTTGTCAACAAAAAACATACAAAGTGATCGCGGGTGGCCAGCACAATACCCACGACGTTGTCGCAACGTGCATTTTGCATTGTTTTTGACACGGGTGGTGGTCCTGCACAAGGCGGCTTCACTAAGGGTGCCCCGCCATCCCTGTCAAGAAACAATGCAAAGTGCTCACAGGGCGCCAGCGTACTGTCCAGGCTTTGCTGCAATGTGCATTTCGTATTGTTTTTGACAGGGATTGTGGAGGGTGTTGGCAGGGTGGGCCCCGCAATGTGCGTTTCGTATTGTTCTTGTTGACAGGGATGGTGGGGGGGGGGCCCTCATGGTGTTCTCATGGTTCCGGGTTGGCGGCCGGCCGGGTGGGGGATGGGGTGTTTCTTAAAATGAAACAGTGATCAAGACATCTTCCTAGATAGCAAGCCGTCTAGCTCACTCCCAACCGCCCTCTGAACACAGAAGTAATACCCGAGCCTCAGCATGTTCGGCGGTCGTCTTCAACTTACCAGCTAATAAGAACCAAGTCCGAGCCCATGTGCGCGACCCTGGGGCGAGGTGCGCCACGCGTACCAGGCGCGCCACGCGCGCCAGGCACCCCTTGGGCCCGAGCGTGTCAGGCACGCCTGGTGCGACAGATGCGCCACGTGCCTCCGCGTGCGCCAAGTGTGCCGCATACTCCAGCCGCGCCAGGTGCGCCACGTTCGGGGCACGTGCAGAGTGTGCCAGGTGCGCCTGCGCACGTGACAGCACACATCGGGAAACATGTCGGCCCCCACCATCCATGTCGAAAACCGTTGCCCATCATTGTGTCTGGTGGGCCTGCGCACAGCAGGCCATACGCCACCTCTTGACAGTGATCGCGGGGTGGCCGCGCATGATCCAGATTTAGCCGCGAGGCGCATGCTGTATTATTTGTTGTCAGGGATTGTAGTCCAGTGCGCAGCAGGCAATATGCTGATACCCCCCGCCGTCCCTGTTAACAAACCACACAATGTGCTCGCGGGGCTCACGAACATGACTCCAGACTTTGCCCCGAAATGTAAGTTGTATTGTTCCTGGTTGGGATTCTCATTATTCCTGGTTGGCGTCTGGTCACCTGTAGGAGGGGGTATATATTAACAATGAGAATCCCTCCCCAAAGGGGAAGAATTGGGTTGGAAGAGGAAGTGCCCTAAACTACTCACGCCCAGGGTGGTGGGATAATGCTGGCAATCATTATTTCAATATCCCCTGGGGTAGCGCGCGTTACCCCCCCTCAGACCCCCGCCCCTCCCCGTAACGGCAACGCTTGCAAATCAGGCACAAGCGTGAATCCTGACAGTTCCCAAAGGATACTGTAAGGAGTACACAGGCGCTCCCGCGTACGCAGGCATCGACGTGCACGGAGGGCCAATGCATTGCGGTGTACACGGACGTTGTGGTGCACGCAGGCATTCTGGCGTACGCATACGCTGAGGTGTTCACAGGCTGTATGCACGAAGCACTGTGGTGTACACGGGCGCTGTGGTGCATGCGCCTGCTGGCTGTGGTGCACGCGGCTGCTGAGGTGTACACAGGCGTTGTGGTATACGCAAGCGTTGCGGTGCAGCACAATGATATCAGAGGAGGAGGGGCAGGACGATGAGGAGGAGGAGGAGGAGGAGGAGGGGGGGTAGAAGAAGGTGGGAAGAGGCAGGGAGCCAGATAACAGCATATTCACAGCTGATGGCCCCACTGTGGGGGGGGGGCCTGCGGGCTCTCGTTGCCCTCCGTCGTTGCTTCTGGCCGCAGACAGTTCGCTGGCGCAGAGATGGCGCGTCTGCGGCCCCAGCGCGGGCGTTCAAGGTTGCGACGCGACCAGAGGAGGGGGTGTTTTACGGTTCCAAGATTCTCAAAAACGAACCCGCGGTGCGGAATCACAGTTCAATATTGGGCCGGGAGTTTCCGGTTGCCCTTATCGGTCAAGATTATCAGATCCACAAGAGTGTTTCTTTATTGCTTGGGGCATGACGGGCGTCATGGCCCCGGGCCCCCCCCCTTATGACGTAACGCCCCCCCCCCCCCCAAGTGCGCTCCGGGCACTGCCGCCCTGCGCATCGGGATCCGCATAAGAATCCGCATAGGAGTTTGGTCCGCACTCGTCGTCGTCGTCGTGCTCGTCGCTCGTCGCTCGCCGTTCATCGTCGTTGTGCGCGCGGACGCGGCTTGAATTTTTTGATCTCAAACAACAAATCCGGTCCGAAGACGGCAATCATCTGGTGGGGGGGGGAGGGGCCAATGACTTCACGTTTCGCGCAAGAGGCGTTTGGGAGTGCTTAGGAATGACCGAAGACGGGTCGCAGCAGCATGTAAGTGGCGATCTACAGCGCCCGTGTACACCATAGTGCCTGCGAACCTGGCTGCACCACAGCACCTGCGTACACCACACCGCTTATGTACACCACAGCACCCGCGTGCAACACAACGCCAGTGTGTGCCACAGTGCCTGCGGGCACCACACCGCTCGTGTACACCACAGCGACTGCGTACACCACATCAGCCGTACAAAGCACAGAACCAGTGTACACCACAGTGCTTGCGTGCACTACAGCGCCCGTGTACACCATGGCGCCTGCGTGCACCACAGCAGCCGTGTGCAGCAGAGCACCATTGTTGTATACAGAATTGTCCCTTATGACAAAATGGAAAGATTGTGGATTCCACAGAAAATCATTGCAAAGAAACCCTTTTGGAAAAGGGAGCGCCGCTGGAATGTACTAGACCTCCAGAGTCCGCCCGCGTCATCCAATTTCCTCCCATCTGCGTCCAGGAGGCTCCAGCAAAATTGGCCGTCCGAAAACCACGTTGACAGATTCAATGGACCATTCTGCGGTGCACGCTGAGATGCGCACGTGCGTTGTAGCGCCGACCAGCACTGGGGGAAGGGTGAGGGAGGAGGAGGGGGAGGAGGACGAGGAGGAGGAGGAGAAAGAGGCGGAGCAGAAGGAGGCGGAGGAGGTGGGAGGAGGGAAGAACGTTATCAGGACTGCCCTGGCGTGGCATTTTGCTGTCCGGCGCAGATCCTCACCGACATGTTTTTTTTACTTGTCCTGTGCACGCAGGCACTGTGGTGTACACCAGCGCTGCGTTGCACGCGGATGCTGTGGTGCAGACAGGCGCTGTGGTTTGCACGGGCGCCGCGGTGCACACAGGCATCGTTGTGTACACAGGCGGTGTTTTGCACATGGTTGCTGCGGCGTACACATTCGCCGTGGTGTACATAGGCTTGTGGTGCATGCAAGCACTGTGGTGTACACGGGCGCTGCGTTGCGCACGGCTGTTTCGGTGTACGCAGTCGCAGTGGCGTACACGCGCGCAGTGGTGCACGCGAGCATTGTGGTGTACACCGGCGCTGTGGGGCTGATCGCCACCTACATGTTGCTCGCGTCGCCGTTGTCGCTTGTCGTTCATCATCGTCGTGTGCGCGGGCGCGGCTGTGGTGCCAGAGCCACACGGAAGGGGGGGGCGTTAAGTCATGCCCCCCCCGGCCCCCCCATGACGCCCGTCCCGAAAATAAAGAAACGCGATCCACGCGGTGTTAAAGACCAACATCCAAGGCGTCACGACACGGACCTACCTATAGCTGCCGCCGCACGTTTTCCTATTTTCCCCCACCTCCCGCCTCCTTATTTCTTTTCCCACTTGCTCCCAACTCCCCCCCGCCCCCTTCCCACCTCTATGCTAAGGCGTTCTTGCGGCCCTTTGTCGCGCCCTTGGTTCGTAGCAGGCCCATGGCGCATTGTGGTGCTCAGAAGCGCAACGTGGTGCTCGCAAGCTACTAATGTGCCCGCTGGCCCGTTTGGCGTAGCTGTGTACACATAGGCGATGTGGTGCACAGAAGTTTTGTGGTGTGCAAAGGCGTTGTGGTACGGTACACATGGTTGTTGTGGTGTACACAGGCGCTGCGATGTACATCAGCTGGCAGGCACCATGGTGTACGCAAGCGTTGTTGCGCACGCGGCTGACAGGCACTGTGGTGTACGGTGCGCGCGGCTGCTGGTACGGAAGCATGGTGTTGTACGCAGGCGGCGCTGTGTTCCACGCGGGCATTGGGCGTCGTCGTGTACACAGAGACTGGCACGCAGGCGTTGGGCATTGCCGTGTGCACAAGGACTGTGGTGCACATAGGCGATTGATGTGCTTGTGGCTCGGACTCACCTTGGCGGTTGCACGCCGCGGCCGCTGTTCCTGTTACCCCCCCGCCCGCGCCCCCCTCCCCCGGGGTAACACGCATTACCCCCAATGATTTCCAGAACGATCTCCTGTCGGGGGCACGTAGGCAGCGCACCGCCGCTTTTCGAAGGATGTTCGGCCCTGTCCTTGCTGCCTCGCCCCCAAGGCAAGGAACAGCGCCACGTCTCTTCCTGTGGTGGAGTTTCTGTCCAACTGGAAGGTGTACGCCCCGCCGCCTCAGACACGGCGTGAGCCGCGGACAGAGTCTGCCTCACCAAGACGACCTGCTGCCCCGCCCGCGTCGCCGAGGAAGCAGAGGCAGAAACACGAGCAGGATCCCGACGACTCTGGGAACGAAGGCGGGTTCCAGAACACGAAGGTGTCGCTGTGATCCATGGCGTTTTTTCCTTGCGGCTGCCCCCAAAGGGGGGCGCCGAAAAGCAGGTACGCGTCGAAGGGCATCGGTGTTCTCTCAGCAGGCCGCGGCCTGCTGCTTGCATCCCGACGGTTGCGGGGCCGCCCGTCTCAGGGCCGTTTTGGCGGCATTTTGGGATCTCTGCGGCCGCTTCGGACAGTTTTAGGCAATGTTTGCCCAATCTTGGCACCTCCGGGACCCATTTTAGGCGCCTCTTGCAGAGCGCGGTGTTTTGGGGGAGGGCGGGAACGAACACATATGTTGATTTCGCACGTTTTTTTGGAGTTGAACATGCTTGCTGGCGATGTTGATCGTCGTTCTCGTCGTCTTCGCCGGCGCGGCGGAGGAGCAGGATCCCGGGAGGATCGAACTCCGAGAATCGAGCTTCGAGGATCGAATTCCGAGGGTCGAGGTTTCAACCCCCTCGAAAACGAATCAACCTCTTGACAAATACTTAATCAAGCACTTGACAAATATTTGCCTCCGCAGTTGTCCCGGCACAAGGAAAGCGAGCAGGAGGAGGAGGGGGAGGCAGAGGAGCGGCAGCAGCAGCAGGAGGATGAGTCATTCTCCCACGCGGCGCGCGCCTCGGTGAGGCCCCTGCCCACCCTTCTCTAAAAAGCCACCAGGCCCGCACAACCACTCATGAGGAGGTCGAGGAGAAGCAGGAGGAGGAGCCAAAGAAGGGGGTGGAGGGGGGCGCGGAGGACGACAAGGATGACGATGCGGAGCAGGAAGAGGAGAAGGGGGGGCGAAGGGGGAACGAAGATGAACGGGAGGAGGGGGAGGAGGAGGAGGAGGAGGAGGAGGAGGAGAGGAGGAGGAGGGGGCGAGGAGGAGGAGGAGGAGTGAGGAGGATTATGAGGGGGGATGGTGAGGACAAGGCGGAGGAGGATCGATCATCGGGGTTAGATCGAAGATCGAGGATGGCGGGGGATCGAGAATCGAGGCTCGAGGATCCGTGAAGGATCCAGGGTCTATCGAGGCTCGACGAAGGTCGAGTTTCGATCGAGGATCAAGGTTCGATCGAAGACCGAGGATCGAGGGTGGATCAAGGATGGGAGTTCGGTCGAGGGTCGAGGATCGAGGTCCGACCGAGGATCGAGGATCGATCGAGAATTGGGAATTGATCGACGTTGGAGGTTCGGAGGGAGGCGGACGAAGGGGGGAATGACGAGGAGGCAGGACGAGGAGGACGGACGAGGACCAGGAAGATGAGGACGACGAGGGAGGAGGGAGGTATAAGGAGGATTATGACGATGATCGCGAGGAGGGAGGATAAGGAGGGGGAAGGACGGAAGATGGCGGGCGTCTTGAAGGTCCCAGGGCCCACCGCCCACCGGAGGCAGGCTGTGCTCGCTCTGATCGGGGCTCCTGACAGGCCGTCATCGCCACGGCTGGATTCGCCGAGGGCCGGGCCAGGGCGCGATGCAATCTTGGGGGCTGCTCGCCCCAATCGCCGGGCTCGCGCGGGGGGGCGTCCTCCTCCTGAACCTGAACAACTGGCGAATAGTCCAACGGGTGCTCGCCTTCTGTCCTCCTCCTCCTCCTCCTCCTCCTCCTCCTCCTCCTCCTCCTCCTCCTCCTCAGCCTCCTCCTCCTCCTCCTCCTGTCTCCTCCTCCTCCTCCTCTCCTCCTTCTGCTCCTCCGCGTCGACGACGACGAGGGCGCCGCTGGCCATTCCGGGAGGGAGAGAGGAGAAGACGACGACGAAGACGACGCACCAGAATGACGTCTTAGATTCTAGTTCGTCGTTCTGTCGGTACTCTTGGGGCACCACTACAGCGAATTTGATTATAGTTCGCCCTTTTGTGGGCGCCCTGGGGGCACCAGAATGACGAAGTAGAGAACTAGATTCCAGTTCGCACTGGGAGCAAAATAGTGACGAACTGAATTTGAATTCGCCGTTCTGGCGGTACTCTTGGGGCGCCAGAGCGGCGGAATAGATTCTAGTTCGCCGCTTTGTGGGCGCCCTGGGGGCACCAGAGTGACGCGCTATATTCTAGTTCGCCGTTCTTGGGGCACCAGAATGACGAGCTAGATTCTAGTTCGCCGTTCTGGCGGTACCCCTGGGACATCAGAGCGGCGAAATAGAATATTGTTCACCTTTTTTGAGCGCCCTGGTGGCACCGGAATGACGAACTAGATTCTAATTCGCCGTTCTGGCGGCACAACGGCGAACTAGATTCCAGTTCGCCCTTGCGTGGGCGCCCTGGAGGCACCAGATTGACGCACTAGATTATACTTCGCCGTTCTGGCGGTACTCTTGGGTATTCTCGGGGCACCAGAGCGGCGATGTAGTTTCTAGTTCGCCCTTTTGTGGGCGCCCTGGGGGCACCAGAGTGACGCGCTAGATTCTACTTCGCCGTTCTGGCGGTACTCTTGGGGCACCAGGACAGCGAACTAGATTCTAGTTCGTCCTTTTGTGGGCGCCCTGGGGGCACCAGAGTGACGCACTAGTTTCTAGTTCGCCTTTCTGGCGGTACTCCTGGGGCACCAGAGCGGCGAACTAGATTCTAGTTCGCCCTTTTGTGGGCGCCCTGGGGGCGCCAGAGTGACGAACCAGAATCTAATTCGCCGTTCTGGCGGTACTCTTGGGGCACCAGAACGGCGAACTAGATTCTAGTTCGCCCTTTTGGGGGCGCCCTGGGGGCACTAGAATGACGAGCTAGATTCTAGTTCGCCGTTCTGGCGGTACCCCTGGGGCATCAGAGCGGCGAACTAGGATATAGTTTCCCTTTGGGGGGCGCCCGGGGGGCACTAGAATGACGAATTAGATTCTACTTCGTCGTCCTGGCGGCGCAACGGCGAACTATATTCCAGTTCGCCCTTCTGTGGGCGCCCTGGGGGCACCAGAGTGACGCACTAGATTCTACTTCGCCGTTCTGCAAAACTCTTGGGCTTTCTCGGGGCACCAGAGCGGCGAACTAGATTCTAGTTCGCCCTTTTTGTGGCCGCATTGGGGGCACCAGAGTGACGCATTAGATTCTAGTTCGCCGTTCTGGCGGTATTCTTGGGGCACCAGAGCGGCGAATTAGATTCTGCTTCGCCGTTTTGCGGGCGCCCTGGGGGCACCAGAGTGACGCGCTAGATTCAGTTCGCCGTTCTGGCGGTACTCTTGGGGCACCAGAGCAGAGTGACGCGCTAGATTCTAGGTCGCCGTTCTGGCGGTACTCTTGGGGCACCAGAGCGGCGATGTAGTTTCTAGTTCGCCCTTTTGTGGGTGCCCTGGGGGCACCAGAGTGAAGCACTAGATTCTAGTTCGCCGTTCTGGCGGTACTTTTGGAGCACCAGAGCGGCGAACTAGATTCTAGTTCGCCCTTGTGTGGGCGCCCGGGGGGCACCAGAGTGACGCACTAGTTTCTAGTTCGCCGTTCTGGCGGTACTCCTGGGGCACCAGAGCGGCGATGTAGTTTCTAGTTCGCCCTTGTGTGGGCGCCCTGGGGGCACCAGAGTGACGCAGTAGATTTTAGTTCGCCGTTCTGGCGGTACTCTTGGGGCACCAGGGCGGGGGCACCAGATCCTAGTTCGCCCTTTTGTGGGCGCCCTCGGGGCACCAGAGTGACGCAGTAGATTCTAGTTCGCCGTTCTGGCGGTACTCTTGGGGCACCAGAGCGGCGAACTAGACTCCAGTTCGCCTTTTTGTTGGCGCCCTGGGGTCACCAGAGTGACGCGCTATATTCTAGTTCGCCGTTCTGGCGATACTCTTGGGGCACCAGAGCAGCCGCACTATATTCCAGTTCGCCCTTTTGTGGGCGCCCTGGGGGCACCAGAGTGACGCGCTAGATTCTAGTTCGCCGTTCTGGCGGTACTCTTGGGTATTCTCGGGGCACCAGAGCGGCGAACTAGATTCTAGTTCGCTCTTGTGTGGGTGCCCTGGGGGCACCAGAGTGACGCGCTAGATTCTGGATCGCCGTTCTGGCGGTACTCTTGGGGCACCAGGACAGCGAATTAGATTCTAGTTCGCCCTTTTCTGGGCGCCCTAGGGGCACCAGAGTGACGCACTAGATTCTAGTTCGCCGAGGCACCGGAGCGGCTGAATAGATTCTAGTTCGCCCTTTTGTGGGCGCCCGGGGGGCACCAGAGTGACAGACTAGAGTCTAATTCGCCGTTCTGGCGGTAGGTACTCTTGGGGCACCAGAACGGCGAACTAGATTCTAGTTTGCCGTTTTGAAGGCGCACTGGGGGCACCATAATGACGAACTAGATTATACTTCGCCGTTCTGGCGATACCCCTGGGGCATCAGACCGGCGAGCTAGGATATAGTTCCCCTTTTTGGGGCGCCTGGGGGCATTAGAATGACGAACTAGAGTCTAATTCGCCGCCCTGGCGGCAGAACGGCGAACTAGATCCCAGCTCGCTTTTTTGTGGGCGCCCTGGGGGCACCAGAGTGACGCACTAGATTCTAGTTCGCCGTTCTGGCGGTATTCTTGGGCATTCTCGGGGCACCAGAGCGGCGAACTAGATTCTAGTTCGCCCTTTTGTGGACGCCTCGGGGGCACCAGAGTGACGCACTATAGTTTAGTTCGCCGTTCTGGTGGTACTCTTGGGGCACCAGAGCGGCGAACTAGATTCTAGTTCGTTTGTGGGCGCCCTGGGGACACCAGAGTGACGCACTATATTCTAGTTCGCCGTTCTGGCGGTACTCTCGGGGCACCAGAGCGGCGAACTAGATTCTAGTTTGCCCCTTTTGTGGGCGCCCTGGGGGCACCAGAGTGACGCACTATAGTTTAGTTCGCCGTTCTGGCGGTACTCTTGGGGCACCAGGACAGCGAACTAGATTCTAGTTCGCCCCTTTTTGTGGGCGCCATGGGGTCACCAGAGCGACGCACTAGATTCTAGTTCGCCGTTCTGGCGGTATTCTGGGGCACCAGAGCGGCGACTAGATTCTAGTTCGCCCTTTTGGGGGCGCCCTGGGGGCACCAGAGTGACGCACTATATTCTAGTTCGCCGTTCTGGCGGTACTCTCGGGGCACCAGAGCGGCGAACTAGATTTTAGTTCGCCCCTTTTTGTGGGCGCCCTGGGGGCACCAGAGTGACGCAGTAGATTCTAGTTCGCCGTTCTGGCGGTACTCTTGGGGCACCAGGGCGGGGGCGCCAGATTCTAGTTCGCTCTTTTGTGGGCGCCATGGGCAGACTGTGGTGTTTTGGGGGGGGGCAGGAACGAAAACGAACGTCGATTTCGTAAGTATTTGGCGATGTTGATC